AAAGAATCGATAAATTTTTATGGTTTGCCCCCCCCCCCCCAAAAAAAAACTCTGAGCTGGATCCGCCTCTGAGCTGTCAATGAGCATAGTCCCAGCAGTCTGCATAGCTGTCTATATGCCCGCGTGCCATGCAATGCATTCAACAAAAGTGGGCGAAAGAGATGTCCCAACTGCCAGCTAACCACACCGGCACGACTGAGACCCATCAAAAAGACTGCCCGTTCCGGACGGTGACGCAGTCCACTAGGAATAATGCAGCCATTTCCAGTGAAGAGTTGGAACTCCTCACTCGCTTGCATCATTCAAAAACACGGCGAGTGGAGCTGAAGGTCACAGCCGTCACGAGCCCGGCGCGTGACGACAGAGTCACGAACCGTCACGGAGGAGGAGCGGTGACGTGAACAGTCACGAACTCGTTACGGTCAGAAAGCGTGACACGTGCGAGCGTCGCCTGGTCCGCCGCTTTAGTCAGTCTGAAGAGTAGTGTTGTTGTTTTGTTTAGACCAAGGGCCAGCGTATAGCTGACAAATAAAGGTTGCAGAAAGCAAAGTACGCTCCCACGTTTGACATGTTGTCTGCAGAAGGCGCAGTTTTTGGCCACGGCATCATCAAATAGATCGTCCAAACCAATCCTTAACGCCAGAGGCCAATCAGCCCATGACTATGAAATCGGCCTCACCCTAAGCCGTCGCCTCAGGTATGAAAATATCGCGTCTTTGAAGACATCGCGCCACTCGTCTGCAGCCAGACAACAGATACACTGCTATTACAGGGCTGATTAGGGTGTGGTTAGTCAATAAAGACCGACTTTCTCACGGCCGTGGGATAATCTATGCGAGCTGGGACCGGGTTGCATGCATTAGCTGCATGAGCCGACGGGGCGTGTACCCTGAAATATTCAGTGACCACAGCGCACAGACCTCCACCTGAAGACGTGGCATGCGGACGATGGGCTAGACGTCTCTCCAGCTGTATAAATACTTCATAGTTCGCATAATGTGACAAGGTTTACACAAATGGCACAAATTAATGCCTTTCCTAAGCAGCGTGACGCGGCTGTGCGAGACGCCTAAAAACGAATATTCAATGTCAGTCATATAAGTTCACCAGAGTGTCAAAAAAAGTCACTGTCAAGTGTCATCCCAGAGTGCGAATGCCATCTCACGAAACCGCGACGTCTCGAAATGAACACCAAACCTGCAAGCAAGCACCCAACGTGACCACGACCACCACACTAACCCCAGTTGCAGCCACTCAAGCGGAGAGATCACTCTCACAGAGAAGCCTAAACTCCTCCCAACCGCTGCCGACTTCCATAGCAACACCAAGCAGACTCAGCCGCATGGCCAAGCGACGGTGCCGCCGCTTTGTGAAATCCATAGCCATGTAGCCTGACACCCGGGTGGTGTGTGGCGTGGGTGTTTAGCGCCGTGTAGACATGCGGAGAAGCGTGGGCGGGTGACTGAGAGACTAAGGAAGAGACCGGAGAAGAGACAGAGACACCGCTAGCTCCGACCGGCAGACGGACGAGGTGTGGGCGGGAGTGGCGGGAGAGAGACGGGGAGGGAGGGAGGGAGGGGGAGGGAGAGGGAGAGGGAGAGGGAGAGGGAGAGGGAGAGGGAGAGGGAGAGGGAGAGGGAGAGGGAGAGGGAGAGGGAGAGGGAGAGGGAGAGGGAGAGGGAGAGGGAGAGGGAGAGGGAGAGGGAGAGGGAGAGGGAGAGGGAGAGGGAGAGGGAGAGAGGGAGAGGCGGGAGGGGAGGGAAAGGGAGAGAGAGAGAGAGAGAGAGAAAGAGAGAGGGAGGGAGAGAGAGGGAGAGAGAGAGTGGAAGATCAACAGACACAGAGGAAGAGAGAGAGAGAGAGAGAGAGAGAGAGAGAGAGAGAGGGAGGGGGAGAGAGAGAGAGAGAGAGAGAGAGAGAGAGAGAGAGAGAGAGAGAGAGAAAGAGAGAGAGAGAGTGAGAGAGAGAGAGAGGATAGGGTGACTCGACCGACATCTGGGTCAGTGTTGGCAAAAACGGGGGTGTGGGCGGGTGATTTAGCACCTCAGACATCACACACCCATCACTGGAAGGTATCATAGGCGGACACTGGCTATCAGTCTCCGTTATCACAAACGAGCCTTTATTGATCGACAGGAAATCAATCAACTGTCCGGGAGGCATCAACGATTTATAAAATGACCTATGGCGGATCTGTCATGTGATTAAAGCAAATACTGGCATTTAATATTTGAACGTCTATGCGAACAGCACACAACAAGCAAATCTAAATATACACTGAGACGTCAGCAGAAGAAAGTCGAGCGAAATGTCAGCAAGCAGTGTTCACCTGCGTCCTGCAACACCCACTGTCTGGAATTCAGCACAAGAGGTCTAGGAGACCAATACAGTTGGACACTCATGTCAACCATAGTTAGCCTGATCAAAGCCTCGAGGCCCAGCTTCTACTCCGGCATGCCGACAGCCGCCGCCATAACAATAGGCTGAAATGCAGTCGCCTCCACAGCAGCTGGCCTCGTCACTGATTGAGAAGGACAGCGTCTGCAAGTCACACCACACGACCGGGGCTGCCCAGCCTGAGCATCACTCATATCTGCTGGACAGACAGGGCTAGTTGAGAAGGTAATGGCCAGACGGCGCTAGTTTAGGCAGTATGGGGAAGGGAGGGAGCCGACAGCGTCGTCGTAAGTCCTATAGAGACCGCCAAGAATAGCGTGGAAAAGGTTGTTTGAAAAGATAACAATGACTTTCAAAATGCGCGTGGTGAAGATGTCGCATGAATGGAACGGACTTTCGACGCGGTTAGCTCAAGTTTTTTGCTGAACATGCGAGACACCCATTATGCGCTGTTTTTGAAGCTTAAATCCAAACACTGTAATCGCTTACCGGTTGGATATGACAAATGGTATGGTAAACCATGTAACAACAGAGCACCGGCTCGCTTCGTCACCACTACGGCAGTCCTCCAGGCTAAGGTAGTGCGCCCCCGTCTGGGTTACCATAGCAACAAGATGACGCAGTGCTATGCCCGGCAGTAACCAAGGAGGTGGCTATTCGCTGCACCAAACAACGGAGGGTGCAAGGGGCGAGCCTCTGTGAGCTTTTAACACGAACAAACACAATACTTCAGCATGGCGCCACACATAGCTTGTAGCTGGAATGGCTCTGGCCTTGAACCTCAATCGTTTGTGTTGTTAGGGGGCAGACGGTTTGTTCGGCGCCACGACAGGGGAATAGGTATGTGTCGTCTAGGGAAGGTGACAAGTGAAACATTCCAAGTGAGATATGTCAACGGTGTACAGAAATAATGGCTATTTAACGCCAAAAAAATGTGAATAACAGAACAGCCATTGTAAAAGGTTCATGTAAATCAACGTCAGGGAGAGGATTTATCCGATATGTTTAATTCCTCACTTTCACTGGACCCGCGACACCACCCTACCGAAGCGTAGCTCAACACCGGCATACTTTCAGGCGCCTGGCCGGCGCCGGCAGAACCTTGACAAACTTTTTTTCGGCCAGTCCGGAGACGCATCTCCCGTTGGTATGGCCACCGACCGCTCAATACTTACCGAGCTGAGATACGCTTTATTGCCTCTGACCGCTCAATACTGAGCTGAAATAGGCTATGGTCACCAACGGTTCAATCAGAGCCGAGACACCGTATCGATCTGGTGAATCAGCAGCTGACAGGCATCTGACCGGGCGGGCCCGCTGACCGGGGACCAGACGCCAGCGGGGGTGCCAGGTCACCAGCTTAGGCCACCAGGGGGCGGGCGGCGCAGTCGCTGGCCAGGCATGACATCATAGACCGACCATTGTTAGTATGGGTGAAAGCTTTTAGCTAAATACTCTCGGGAAGAAACGATATAAACCCCTGGTTAAAAGTACGGGGCAACAGCATCCCACACATCACTAAGGACATTTTCTCTAATCACGCCATCAGAACACGTGGGCGGGATATCTGGCAGTCCGGAGTGGTTATCTCTAGATTGAGGCTATCACGGGCCAAAACAAACGAGTTGTGTTGCAAACATGCGGCTGGCGGAGAGCGGTGGACATCACCGGATCTGGGGTCGGTGTGGCCCCGCCATGAAGGGGACCGTCTGGTTTACAATGGTAATGAATAACAAACAGCACAATGACTGTCTAACATTAATTGTCTGCGAGGCATAAATGGAGAATATAAGAGCAATTGTGCCAACAGCAACGATATTATGAGGAAATCCCGGCATTCGTATACATACAGGCAAAGCTATCGAGAGTTACGTTCAAATGAGTGAGACAGCGCCATCCGAATTACAATTAGAACGAAACTGTTCCCAAATGTCGATTTGTCCCATACATCAATTAGAAGTTGTAAAAATTAGCTGCACGGGCAGGCTCCAAGCTGTAAAAACCAGCCATCCGCAGTTCGTTATCACCCAATAGCCACAAAAAGCATAGAAACTGCTAATAAATATGCCACTACAAACAAAGTTATACAATCTAAGACCTTTACTCGATGGCTCAAACAGCTGCGCCAAGTGCAAGCTGGCCTGAAGTTTGCTAGGCCAATGCGCTTTTAGCTGTGACAGCGACCCGGCGAAAAATAATGTAACAAAACAAACAACGATACACCTGTCATCTTCCCTGAAGAGTGGGATTGTGGAATAGATATACTCCTTGAGCAAGCGACTAAGCGGCCAAAGCGCCGTCAAAATGTCTATGACGGGCACTTTGCTAGTGGCAGATAGTAGCGGATCAACATACGCTGACAACTAGGTAGGACAACCGGACAAATAATTTTCTAGCTCTTCGAAATGAAAGGAGTGGTCATAAACGTAACCAAGAGTTCTATCAACCGATCAATGGTTCCCATCGACCGCCAATGTCCTGGGACACCAACCACATGCAATAAGTCTTCCACCATAGCCCAGTCAGGGAAAGCAGCTTCTCAGTACCATCTGAGGCGACAACTATGGGAAGCATTGCTAGTACAAGCCCGAGAAGTCGCTCACCATTTTGAGGAGCTTCCGCAGGCTCGCCTGAACCTCCAGGCGCCACATGGGGCGGCTCAGTGTTCGCTGAAGAGTACGCCGTGGACCATGGCGCTTGTCAGTTGTGATGAAATTTCCAAATGTCACCAAATTCGTTATTCATACTTTAACTTTTCCTCAATAGATAGCAGGTATCTTTCCCAAAGCGACTTTACGAAGTCCCGATATGAGGTCTGTACCTGTTTCTGTGACCAACACAGTACAAGCACAGACACTGGACCTCACTCCCCTCACGTGAGTCCCCACCCCACCCATCACCTCCACCACCAGCCCGCAACCCTCTCTCCACATGCAGCGTCTGTACTCACATGTCTGTGTCGTCGGCGACGGCGTGTCTCTCTCCACGCGTCCTCCTCCCGTCAGCATCCGGTTCACCTCTCGCTCAATGTCGAACCCGGAGTCCGACGGCTCGACGGCGCCTCCAGACGCCGCCGAGACGTTGAACATGTCCGGTGTTATCTGACCCTGACTCGGACTGTCAAAGTCCACCCGCGGCACGTCTCCTCCCAGACTCTCGTCCACGAGCAGCGAGGCGCTGGCGCTGGCACAGCCACCGCCGGCCGCGATGGAAGGGTCCGTGCTACGGATGGAGCCCGGCGCGCGGCCGCTGGGGGTGGCCGCCGCAGCGTCTGTGGTGTCGACTGGACCTCCCAGACGCAGCACTACCACAGAGATGTTGTCGGAGGAGCGCAGGTCGACGGCCGTGCGCACCAGACGCTCGGCCAGACCGGCGAAATCGTCTGACGGGGAGGGAGCAATAAGGTCAGAAGAATGGTGTAGCGTGTCTAACTAAGCAGGCATGGAGAGTTGACAGGCTGACTGTAAGGTATGGCAAGAAGTGTGAAGTGGCGAGTGTGGCGTGGCGTAAAGATGACTCCTAAGCTTAATTTATGTTACTCAGCTGATTGCGCCATTAGCCATCCGATAAAAAAGTGAAACGCAATAATTTTCTTCTCGTTATGTTCTCACCACATGCACTCAGTTCTTCCCCTCCCTAACCTTACACCTCGTCCCATTACGCCCGCGCCCTTTTCTTCCTTCCCCCATCCCTCTCATTCTCCATCCTCCTCTTCCTCAGCAACCCCCTCCTTCCCCCATCCATCCCTCTTTTTCTCCCCTCCTCTCCCCGTTCGTACTTGGGTTCTCCTCCATGTCGTTCATGACCATCCGCACCGTCTGCTCAGCATCGATCACGTCGAAGAAACCGTCGCAGGCCAGCAATAGGAAGTCCTCGGTGCCATCCAGCTCCACAGTCGTTACGTCCGGCCGGTCGCTCACGAACGGACGAAAGTTTTCGTCACCTGACGACGGATAGAAGAGATGATTATGGAGATGACGAACACTGAATACGATGTCGAACGGCAGGTGAGAAGCGAATGGCAGGGACGGAATGGAACGCGAATATGTAAAGGAGGCAAGAGAGAAAGAGAGAAAGACAAAGATTGCTGGAAAAGAGAGTGATGAGAGGGAGAAGAAAAGGGAGAGTGAGAGAAAGAGGGAGAGACAAAAGGAGCGGGAGAGGAAATGAGGAAAAGAGACAAAACAAGATGGAAGACACGAAATTATTTCCACTGATGAAAAAACAATGAACGGAACGCATTCATAACATTGGGTTGGTCGCAAGGCAGGAGGAAGGATTAACCGCCCAACAAAAAGGTCCGCACGTAAAATACATGCCGCTCAAAGTACTTTTTAATCACCAGACGTCAATCGATAATGGCATGATGTTGACACCCCCAACACGCCGCCACATCGCATTCCTGTCCATCACGTCTGGCACCCGCGGGCCGGATCTCCCGCGACAGACAGAGGCGGTAGCAGCCGCCCGGTGACCGCATATAAACAAACAAAACGCCTACTAATGCCGGCGCGGCCGCCGCAGCTATCCGCCACTGAACTCATGTGTGCTGACGGGGATGATTGCAACTCGGCCGGCCGCAAAGGCGGCGAATACCGTGCCAGTCATGAGCTGAGGCTGGAGTCAATGGATGATGTGGCATGGTGGTGTAACCGAGTGGCTGTTGAGGGGACCTTGGAAGAAGATTGATGAATATAATCGTCAGGGGCTGTTTGCACTATCTCCGGTGTGCCGGAGGTGAAGGAATGTCCACCCCCTTCCCATTCCCACACTTGGAGTTCGGTAGCAGACCGTTCATTCCTTTATCAATGAACTATCAAACGTAAGACATCCGACCTTATCCAGTGAGCGGCAAAGCCAAAACTCTCGACATGGCCGTTTGAATAGCAGCCGCGGAGCCATGACCAGAACCAAAGCTGACTAAAATTCCAGCACTGGTTTACATCAGCAAACAGTTCATTTCTACTACCTCACAGACGCGTCCCAAGCCGGTAAATTACGTAATGCCACGCTCAGTTGATTTTCCGGCGTGATTCACTTGCCCACTTCACGGAGGACTGCCAGCGTGGCCACGGGAGCCGTGCAGCCTTCGGCGCCGCTTGCATCGACGCCGGTCACCGCCCTTTGTGTCGCAACACTCCAACGAGGCATTCGTTCTTATATGGGGCGTATGCTCCAAATTGCATCCGTAAGCTATGTCTTTGCCGTAGTGTGGTATTCGCCATTACGGTAAAATGGAAATGGAAACGGAAGTGGAGGAAAAAGCAACATAAAGTGACGTAAAAAATTGTTGTGAATCGTTACTGCATGCTGTCCCCAATAAGGTATAACGCATCTTTTCCGTCACACAAGTTGTTTATTAGGACTTTAGGGCGCGTCGACTGCGGTGGTCATTTTGCGCCCATTGTTGAACATGTGGCACAACATCCGTAAGAGTTGAGCGCGACATCACGACACTATAAAGCCGTTACAATCGATAAGTGCAATAATTGAACTAACTTAATTTATCATTCGCCAAAGTAAGCCATTGTCAGTTATTAACGACATATAACTGGAAAATGCATTAGGCATCACCAATAATTGACAAAACCGAGAAAAAAATGAACAGAGCAACCAACACACATCAAGCCGAAATGTTGCGTATCAACTACCTACGATATGTTATATTATGTCAGATACATACGGCTATACATCTTTAGCAGCAAAGCGTCGACTACCGACATGAATTACAGATGTTAAACTCACCGAGGGCTCGTGACACCGACAGAACGCCGTTGACCCGATAGGAACCGTAAAAATTGACAAAGCCGCCCAGCTGCTCAATGCGCGCCTTTTCGTCCTGAAAAAGGGAAAGCAGTTGTAGATGGACTGTCAGAGAGAAACAGGGAACGCATGGGTGGAAAACTACCTATAACTGATCAAAGTGCAGGCAAGAAGAAAGTCAAAAATTCAAATACACGCAATAAAAAATCCTAGCAAAGAAAAAAAATGTCTTCACAATTAAAAAAGACGCAAAAAGAACAGCCTAGCATGAGAATGAAGTCAAACAGTGATACCTACGAGACTTCTTAGTGAACACACGTCTGCCCGCATCCCCCAGCTCCAGCCCTACTCCCGGCCCCATCCCACTCACCGGCCGCTCGGGTTTGTGCGGGTTGACGACGCGCACGGGCAGACCGGCCCTGCTGAGTACCGCCTGGCAGTCACCGATCCATGCCACGTGCAGGTGTGTACTGGAGATGAGCGCGGCCACAACCGCAGCGCCCGCGTTACTGCCCTGCACGCCGGCACACAGCGTCACACACCGTCACACTGGGGTCACCTGGGGTCACACCGGGTCACGGGAGGGGTCCCATGGGGTCACGGGAGCGGCCGCGCGGGGTGGACGGTCGTAGCGGTCAGTCACCAACGGTGGGAATGTTGCAGGTGCTGGGTTCAACGGACATGAGGTGCAATAATAGGCAGATGGTAGTTGAGGCTGATGCGAAATGAGCTCGGAAACGGCGTGAATGAGGCGGCTGTGAAGTAACGGTGACGCATTTGAGGCAAGATGCGCGGAAAACACTGGTCAAGCTATAATATCCGTTAGCATTATAAAAACTAAGTTTCAATACTCCTTTGTGCTCACATAACGAGACAATCACGATACCTACTCTACATGACCCAGATATTCTGCCCCCGGTAACAAACATGATGTCATGTAATACCTTCCCATAACACTTTCTGGTCATGTAACACCTCGCATGGCTGACCCGCCCCTCCCCTCGCTACACCCTCTCAGTCACCGCCGGGAGGGGCCAATACAGGTAGGCGCCATGACTCCGTGAGCCACTCCTGGCTAGACAGCGGGGGTGCAGGCCGCTCCCCGAAGGCGGAGCGATTTGCATCTCTGACCGCCGCTGGCCAGAAGAGCCGGTGTGGCGCGGCACTGGCCCGCACCCACTGATGACTCATGGTCAGGGACCGACACCGGCCCACGCAGGCCATGACCCCGGGACCCGGCGTGCCACCGTGACTGTACGTATCGTCTTACAAACTAGCCTGCAAACTCGGCACTGGATATGCTAAATGACCTCGATCCATAACCGTTTGAAGCACAAAATCCATGACTAGTGATATCGTCAAAATCAAATTTCAAATCTCGAATGCCATGCATCACCATTAAAAATCAGATGAGCAAATAGGCACTCTATAAATCATACCGCTGAAGCATTTCCCAATCCAGCTCACGCTCGCGCGTCGCGCGTCACCCACGTACCGTCGCGTTGAAGCCCTTGTCGGTGGTGGAGAACGCGTCGATAAAGGCCAGGTGCGGCTTGTCGGGGAACTGCGGCGATTCGGCCAGATTGCGAGCCATGTGCTGGGTGCAGTACGCAGCTGCGTCGTAGCCGATATGGCCGTCGAAGACGCCGTAAAAGCCGTAATGGTCCGGAAGCTGAAATGAAGTCGCAGAAAACAATTAAATGAATATTTTGAATCAACTGTGTTAATAAGATGCTATACCGCTAGGTAAAGCCATGCATGATTTCAGAGCCTTTTGTTAGGTATGAACATAAATGTGTAACACATTTATTGTTTATCTATAAATGAGGGGAAAATGAAACAACTGAGCACCATAACTATATACTTATGACTAAGTTTGGAGCTGCTCCTACAAATATTCAGAAAAACTATTAATGTCTGAATTTTTAGCGAGCAGCCTTACCTTTTTGTCCGTTACCCCTCTGAGGTCGTGGACTAGCACCGTTCGGTCCTCCATCTTCCTTCTCTTGTTCTTTACTGCCTTGTTGCTGATGGCCAGCACCGGAGTGGCCATCGCTGAAAATAAGGGTAGAGCACTGATATCTGTCTCTGAGCTCAGTTGGTAAAATATTTTACACCCCTGCGGCAACTGCCAGAGGTTGGGCCCACTCATTATGCAAGAAGCTCTACTTGGCGCAGGCTATATTCATTCAATCTAAATGTCAGCTTAGCTTGTATCTAAATAACAATAAATGAAACTGACATGAATCACTCATGCAGAATTTCAACAAAAAACATAGAGTGAATGATGAAAACATCATGGCAAACATGTCTTCTATTTGATATATAATCATGAATGGCTTAGAATGGTTTCGCTTTTCCACTGCTTACTGCAAATAATAACATATAAAAATCTTACCAATGTTCTCTTCTGGCTCCATCACTGACATCTGAAGTTAACCTGAAACAGATAACAGGCCCAGGGTCATGCCATGTCAGCCTTGATGATATTTACAAACAAGACTGATGATGACATGATGACATTAATAATCCTAGATTGCAAATCCTGATAATTGTAAGTAACTATATTTGGTTGGAGACCAAGCCCAAACTGCAAAGACATGGCAACTGTGAAAAGGTATTGTTCTTGCAGAGGCACTCAGCCAGTTTACAGTGTGATCAGTGATGCCAATTTAACATGGTGTGGTGCAGATTTTGAGTGGTGGAGTGTGGGGTGTGGGCCTGTGGTATGGTATTGTACCGTGCTGCTATGCTGATTGCTGGTGCATCACTGTCCAAGAAAATTATGAGAGACAATATGTGGTTCGCACATTTGCCCACCAAAGTTACCCAAGTTGGTTCTGTAAGTTACCTGAATGGTGCCAAACCAATTTTCAGACTGATTGACTTGAGCTGATGCAGATTTGTCACCCTGGATGGTGTGATCTATTGACCTTGTTGCCAGATGCTGCAGTCTGAGTGGGGGGCTGGGTGCTGCCAGCTCAGACACTCAGCCAGCAAACCGTGTGGTGCAGACAAATAAATGTGTTGATTTAGCATGGAGCAAAGCAGTGTAGAACCTATCATAGCACCATGCCCATTGCCCAGCCAATGTCAAATTGGTTGAATCCAGGGCTCTGTTCAGTCGCTATTTTTATATCAGCGTGCTGTGGGTTGTCCCCACATAAGGAAGTTATTGCTGGTGATTCTTGGCCTCTCATTGGTCTAACGAATAGACCACTTGAATTTGACCAGCGAGGAGCCAAAAAGTAGCAGCATGCTCGCAGCCTGCTGATAAATAAAAGGGGGCAAACAGAGCTCAGGTTGAATGTCAACATAACATTGAGGAGCACCTGACTTTCGACATCAATTCAACATTGATATCATGTTGATTTTGCATTGCATTTGATTATTTCATCAAGATCAGGTCAATTGTGCCTAACAGAACTACGTTGATGGCGGTTGATACAACATTTACATCAATGTTGATCCTAATTCCTATGTTGAATCAACGCTATTGTGCTACTAGGGTTCACCTCCAGCAATTATAAATAAAAAGATTGAAAACATGTGTTCAAATAACAAAGCACCCCAGAAAAAAGGTCAAATTAAATTGAATTGAAACCTACCAAAGCAAAACTTATTCTCCGGGAGAAAATAAAAACAAACCTTTCAGCCGAACTCAAAATGATTCAAAACTTCCAACTACGTGTATAAAAAGCACAGTAATGACTAATCGAACACATCCAAGATGTAAACTCACAACTAAATTAAATAAAAAATAACTGCCCCCGTCCACTCACCTTCCTCAAGCGTGGCGACGAAGTCGATAACGAAGGAAATACGATAAGAGTCACTTTGCAATAGCTAAGATAGGGAGACCCGCCCCTATCCGTCATCGCCGTCACAAACTTGTGTTCCGAATTGAAAATCATGTTCTTGGAATATCACAGCAGCGAACGTAAGCGAAGCTTATTACGTCAGGACATAAAGAGAAGCAACCATTAAATTATAACTATTCCCATTTCTCATCTACTTCGACCAGGATTACCGTTTATACCTTTTACCGCAGACCGCTTTTACCTACTTACAGTTTCTTTGAAGTGCTTATAGAATTTGGTGCTGCTGAAAAAGCCAGGAAGTTTCTGTAACTGCAATGAAGCAAACACATGATAAACGATTTACACACGAAGAAGATTATCTTCAATTTTGCACCTATATATTGCGCTACCTATATATTCTGCAAAATATTATCATTGGCCATTGTGGTGTGGTGGCATGCAGTCTGAAGACACAAAGGCATCCAGAAATGTGATAAGGATTGCTGCGAATCCCACAAGGTTCTTCGAGTTCCAAAAAATCGTAGAAAGAGACAAGAGAAAAACGCCTCGTTTTGATTCGCCACTCAAACACGTCAATACATTGCTCAGGGAGTATGCAAAGAAGGCAGGAAAAATTATAAAAAAAGTCAAATGCAATTCAGCGCTAGTTCCCTCACGGATCCGATAACAGTAAAATGGAAACAGTGAATGCGTTCTCAGGCTTTCCATGAGCGGGTTTCTGCATAAGCGTAACTTTATATCTCTTTGTGGGTGCTCAAGCACCCCCAATCCTGAGCTCAGCACCCCCTGCCTTCTTAAAGCACCCCCAGCCTCCTCAAAACATTCCCAGCTGACTCAAGGCCCTCAATAATCAGAATGTCCATCTCCTAGTACTGTAATGAGCCCAGTGAATCATGCAAATACTATGCTTACTCAATTCAGTGACTAAGAGAATATACATTGAATAAATCACCACAAATTAAGATGCATGATATTTGTGTTAACATTACATCTGATATTATCAGGGGCCCGGGAACGATTTTCAAGTTGGGGGGGGGGGGGGGCGAGCCTAAAATACCTGACATAATGCATATAAAACAGTGGCATAGCTAGGGGTGTAAGGGGACACGTTTCCCCTCCCCCATCGGGTTCAAAGGGACCCTTGGGTCCGAGAGGCCTTGCGGCGCCATTTGACCGCTGAGGGTTAACGATGGCCATATTTCTACTCAGAAGGGCCCCGTGAGGCTCTTTAGAGCACCTCATGGGCCCTAAATAGCCACACTAAGGTCTCCATAAGGGCCCCACGCCGACTTCTGAGGGCCTCTTGCAGCTTTTAAGGACACCTCGGTGGTCTCCAAAGGCCCGTTAAGCCTGAAACAGACTCTCCGCAGTCAGGAAATCGCATGCGAGAGCCTATTCAAATACATGGAAGCACGCTCGCATCAATCGCACGCACCTCCCGCGAGCGATTGATGCGAGAGGAATTACAATGTTTTTGAATAGGCTCTCGCATGCGATTTCCTGAACGCGGAAAGAGTCTGCTTCAGCCTTTACTGGCCTCTGAGAGGTCTTACCGGCCAATGAGGGAAAGTTCTAGGGGCATTTCCCACCTGTGATGGTCCCACACTTATTTTTCTGAGGGCCCCATAACGGCAACTATGGGGCCCTCGTCGGTGCCTATGAGGGCCCACACCGGTGTCTCTGAGGGTTTCACACCCCCAACTCCGAGTGCCTACACCAGTGCCTATTAAAGCCCTATATCGGCGGCTCTGAGGACCCACCCAACACCTGCGTATCTAAAGGCCACCCACTGATGACTTGAGGGCCCCACAACGGTGACCCTGAGGGCCCCACCGGCGTCTGACAGTACCATGCCGGTCTCTTAGGACCCCGCAGGACTTCTTCTGCCGGCCTAATAAGGACCCCATGCCGGTCACTGAGACCCCCTGCCGGCTTGTAGAGAGTTCGCGTCAGCAGCTCTAAAGGCCCCACACCCGTCTGTAACGGCTCTACACCAGCGTCTATGAGGGCCCGGAGCAACGCCTGTAAGGACCCTCATCGGCGCCTCTGAGAGAATCACACTAGCACCTCTGACCGCCCACACCGGCACCTGCATGGCGGCCCCACACCGGTGCCTCCCTTACCGGCGGCTCTGAGGGCCCTACGCCGGTGATTCTGAGGGTGCCACCGATAACTGAAGGCACCACACAAGCCCTTAGTGTAGCTGAGCTTTAATCCCATACCGGCCCTCCGAGGGCGCCACGTCAGTGCACTCATTGCCCCACACCCCTACCTCACACCCGGAGCGGGTAAACTGTGTTATACCTATAGCAACGATTTTACCACCGTTGTACGTTATGTATTTCTCAAAGTTGACTCAAAATGGTCCAGTACAAAATCTGGCCTGCCAAACTTATGGCCAACGTCAGGCCCAAACACGTTTTGGGCAATCAGTCTCAGTCCATGACTCTATTCTTCGGCAACTACGGTGCAAGGCCGATACTGTAGAAACTTGCAATTTGTACCCTTGACCTGACCTTGACCTTGACCTCAAACTTTAAATTAAGTGCATGTTTTTAGTTATTCGTGATGAGATCTTTCGATTGGCGTTTGAATTTTCCAAATCGGACCAATAGTTCGGGAGATAACAGGGGGGTAAAATTTATCCCCCCAGCCCCGCGCGTTCGGCTGGAGAGTGGAGACCCCAGCCCCGCGCGGGTTAATGCATTGGGTGAGCCAAAATTGTTTTACAGTGGCGCTATTAAAACAAGCTCTCGAACCGATTTAACATCATTTCTTGCATGATGCCTGATGGTTACAGTAAAAAAGAACAGCTAAAAAAAACTACAAAAACTATGGAATGCCTTTTTGAAAGCTATTGAGCACCCCCAATGATTTTTGGAAAACTACACCCATGGGTTTCTGTGATAATTGAATCATTGCTTCAGCCAGCTTCACCTGCCGCCGTGCAAAACATTAAAATAGTTTGGTTATTTTATTTATTGCTTGTAACAAAACCACTCGCTATCAGCGACGAGAAAGGATTGAGGAATGAAACAGGATGTATGCTTACATTTAGGGCAGCACCAAACCACGAACGTTAAACAATCACCAATCTTGTAAACCACTAGGAGCTTGAAAAAAAAACAAAAGCATTAAGTAAGTGAAATCGTCTCATGCTCATTTGTAATTTGGTCGTAACCTTTGGCGGATTCAGAAAGCCGGTGTTTGACGCTGCAGACTGTAGAAGCATAGGTACGTACTCCTACAAGTATGTATGATATTCAGTCTGAGAACTCATCAGATTTCGCTGACAAGTTCATCGGTCATTTGTCCCATCCTCGTCGGACCAAACAACAAAATCAATCGACGATGAAACCAATAAAATTATCACAGCAGAAAGCACATGCGTACGACTACGGCTTTCTCCAATATGATAGCAAATGATAGCGCCATATATCGATATGAATGATTCATAATAAAGCCTCACACGGAAAACCAGCAATCCTTTATAGTCGTGCTGATCACCGAACAATAATGGGTATGGAATCACGATACAATTACTAACTAGTACCTATACCTACACCAGCTGAGCAACAACAGTCATGTAACAATCAACATCGTAGGGTAACATTGGCGAGTCAATCATCCGACGCTCTCTATACATGACCTTATTTTGAAGTCCCTGATCACTCATCATTGATACATTTCCCTACTGAACACAAGTGGGCACCACCGGCACGACATGCCATGCAAGCATCGCAACGGCCAGCGGAGCAGCTATAACTATAACAGCTATAAATACGATGCAGAGACTAGCGGATGTGGAAATTTGTCCCGTCCTCTTCAGGAATCCAGAAATGATGGCTTGCAATTTGTTCACACAGCGCCAAACCCTTAGCAGTTGCGGTGTACGATCAAGGCACGAGCTATCTCCGGTATCACACCGACTTTTCCAGCTTCTTCACTCCTAACTGGTGTCGGCAGTCATCGATGAGGAAACTGGAAACAATGGCGAACAGTTAGGTCAGTGTTTCACCTGCGCTAGAATGACCACTAAACACACATCAAACAACTGCTCCTCGATTCCGAAGTCATAACACTTCCTCGCGCTAATTTCAATGTTCATAGAAAGCTCACCTGTACCAGAGCAAAGGCAGCGGTGACGTGCTCAGATGCCAGAGCGCATGCGCGTCTAGTGTCCACGCTATGGGCGGGAAGTCGGCAGTCTCCAGTAGGATGGAGACGGACACAAGCGTCACGGTAAGGGCGCATTTCCACACGTAGGGCAGCGTCCTCCGCTTCAGACCGCACCATACCAGCCAAGTGATCACGTTCAGGGCGCCTGTCGGTGTGCGGACGGGTCATATTAACTGGTGTGTTCGGGGTAGCCGCGACTGTGTTTTATTAGCGAGCTGAGCACACGATAGCGAGGAGATAAGCGATGAAAAAAAAAAACGATCCGGACTGTAAAACTAATTATCCAGTGACAAATTCAATGATTTTACCAATGAAACCGACTCTGTAAGCATTCGCTGTAGCTAAGAGCTAAATGAAATTTATCGTAAGAACTGCTTTACGATTAATGCAAAAATGATAGCATTGTGACTTGTAAAATTTTCTCTGACTCTGCCTGGTACCAATGATATTTTTACAAAACATTTTGCCTTTTTGTTGACTTTTACTTGACGTAGGTAGCTTGTGTTGAGAAATAATTTAAGCAACGGAAGAATAATTACTTACCTACAAAGATGTTGGCTTTCATGTTGTAGCCATAGTCAAATCTGACCAGAGACAAGTACGACAGGTGGTATATCAAGAAGCCCATGCAGAGAAGAGAGACCGCAATCGAAGGAAGGCTCATTTGGGAGCCTAGTAGCCTGTAATTAAAACGCGCTCGTTGTAAAAAAAAAAACGGATTCTTGTATGCTCAGTTTGCTCACTGCTCAGTCGCCTGATATAGTCAAGGAAAAAAGAACTTCATTGTGAGTAAAACGTGACTTAACTGCACACCCAATGTATTATGTGTGCCGTGAGTGTCGTTTCTATCGTGAACTGATGCCCGATGCCGCTGCAGAAGTTACCTGATGCAGGCCGAATAAAAGGAGAAGAGAACCATGGAGAAGGCAGAGAAATAGTCCAGCTTCTCTGTGGAGTCAGTGTCTTTGGTGTGGAACACAAAGGACCAGAACCAGCCATTCATACACACCTGAGGAGCAGTGAAAACATGGTCAAAACGGCACAAACGGCGGCATCTGAGAGGGTAGGCTATTGTGCTGTTGTGACAGCACACACAAGTGACCCTAGTTCGCTAAGAAGGTACAAACTTCTCAGAGGGATGCCTGACAGACCAACTACAACCATCAGGCACTTTTGTCAGACATTAGAGTGGGTGAATCAGCAGTTAGCACAACTATTTTTGGGAAAAGTGACTTACCAGTGCGTATGTGATCCACAGCCAATAAAGTGGTGCATGCTGAGGCACAAGTGTCCTGAAATGCCTCAGCATTACTACATGACACATCAGGTTCATGAGTGAAAAGATGGCACTGGCTGGCTCTTGCATTCCCAACCAGCACACAAATGGCCACTGAAAATAAACAGATGAAGATGAAAGGCATGACACTGTTGAACTAATAAACAATGGCAGAATGAAACAATATTTAAATTCAATACCTCCATTCTAAAAAAAACTGTTAAAGGAAAAGGGCCACCTTCGTGAAATATGAAGATATCGTTGTTTTTCATTTTGACATTATTATTTTTCATTTTCTTTTTAAAACTGGTGCCAGAAGTGCACAATTTGCGAAAAATTATTTAAAACTATTTAACATATTGGTACTATGTTGATACTCTCTACGGCACCTACTGTATGATGGCATAGCGATGACGTCACACTCAAGCCAATCAGCGTTCAGAAGACAGACTCGTCGAATTGTGTCAGATAAGCTGATTGGTTAAAGCTGAGCTGGTTGGAGCTGATTGGTAAAAAACCAAAGCCTCGCCGCGGGTGGCTGTATTGTCGGATAAGAACGCATTCCTGGGATAAGGACGCATTCCTGGCGTATTTTCTTTTAAAATTGCCGATAACTACGAATGGAGGCCGAAATCGGCCGTAAGGAGGTAGACAGACAGGTTTTCGGACACGGGCTACAAGATGGCTATCTCAGTTTCAATCCCCATGTTAAAGGTGGCCCTTTTCCTTTAAGTAAACAATAAATACCTAGTCATCCAATAACTTGTCCAAATGTTCTGGTATGATAAATATGACAAAGAGACATTGACATTGGAACACATAACAGGAACAAAATGATTCACCTTGCCATGGAACTGAGGTGTGGTTCTCCCATTTTTCACAAATTCATCAACTGTATTCCACATGCAGTCATACTTGCATTCATCCGGACATTTCCAAATGAAGCCATCACCTGGAAATTGAAATGTGAAAAGATTTTATCATAGACCTCTGTATACATGGACTGGACACAGAAAATCCGGCCATGACCACAACGGCCCTAAAAGTAAATGCTTATAACTCGAGAGCCAGTTCACCTACGACATCCATTTCTTCACCGCCGCATAGCCCCATTCATTGAAAATGATGGGGATCATCCGCCGAACCGATGCGGTGTAACGGGGGAGCACCAGCACGTGGCGCGTGAGAGATGTTTATGAAAATGGCGTGACAGTATCTCGGGAACGGCTGGACCGAATGAGTTCAGATTTGGCACCCAGCTAGGTATAACACACCTGCCAATAACGCATGTCCCAATTTTGAGGTGCCGATGCACGTGCGCACGTGCACACCCCTTTTTTGTATCTCAGAAACTACTCGTCCGATTTCGCTGAAATTTTGTATACAGGCAACAGCCTAACAACCATTGCTGGTTCCCACCTCAAGCAAGGGGTGCGACTGCACGTGCGCACGTGCACACCCCTTGTTCATATCTTGGAAACTAGCCGCCCGATTTAGCTGAAATTTTGCATATACCCAAGTGTCTTATAACCATTGCTGGTGTTTGTCTCAATGTTGAGGTGCCGCTGCACGTGCGCACGTGCGCACCCTTCCAGTATATCTCGGAAATAAACAGTCCCATTTCGTTGAAACTTTGAATACAACCATGGTCCCCACAACTACCGCTTATTCACACCTGAATAGTTGATATCATAACTAAAAATAACAACAAACGACTCAAAACTGTTGATCGTGTAATCCAACAGATTCTGATCGTTGTAATTGTATGCGGATAAATATCCGGTAGTTGGTGAGCATTTGAGCTAATTTCCTATGCTGTTGTATTCAAGGATACTTGTTCTCAAAAACAGTATTAAGAGAAAAAACGTTAAATCGCTTTTATTGCTCTGAAAGGGGATAAAAGTGCAACGCTCATGACGGACCGTCTTAAATAAATTCGTCCTAATGACGGCGACGGAAAAGAGCACGTGACTTTCTGTAAAGTATCATTAGCATTATTCCCAGACCTACGTGTTTTGTCATAAAATAGGTATGAAACTGGAATTGTACATTTAAGTTTCACTTTTAAGTGTTTCATATTGAGGACTTATCATTAGTTTCGGTTGAATAATTGGTGTCGGTGTGCTTACAAACTGATACGTTATTAGATGTCACAAGTAGAAGATTATTTGTTAAACAATTGTTCGTTTTTTAGCTGCATTTTGGAGAAGACCATTTACCTACAAGATCCCACAGGAAGTGCAAGCAAACGTTCCTGATTGACGCATCGTTACATCTATACACTGTGGTTCCATCCACTCTTAGCCAGATCTTTCCCAGCGTGAGTAATGCTTTATAGCTTGCTTCATTTTTATTTGTCTTTGCTGCTTTTTCTCTGGTATGTTTGCTCGCCAAAGTCGGTATTCAATAAACCAGATTAGTTACTGCACTGCCTACCATGCTTGGAAGGCATGCTCGTAGACAAGATAATCAATGTCATCGAATTCGAATCAATCTATTTGTGAGTGTCATTGATCAAACTATAAAATAGCAATCTTGACGCATTTACATTCATTATTACTTTTAAGTCGTTTGCTTCTCAATGCAGGTGTGCTTGTAGGACGTAGGTTAATATCAAGTATCACTGTGTAAAGGCAGTTTTGCAATACATAAATCTATCCGAAACCTTACTTTTGCAAACACATTTACTTGTTCTTGTCATGCTATCGTAATGACTTTGCGGATCATGCTTGGCGAGGGCCGCTTGTTCTTAAATGTAAAAAATTACCGCTAAGCACACATTATCCTATAAAGTGTGACCGACATACTTCTTTCTCTATTTCTTTCAGTGACGCCACTCACAGAGATAGTCAACGAGCCGCTAACGAACAATGCCCCCAGGATAGCACATCATCGAAATGCCAACTCCAGGAGCAGCAGCAGTCGCCGACATGATGTAGGAGGAAAATTTATCAGCAGTGTTCGGTGCTTGCTGAAGAGTACAGTGACCTTAAGCACCATTTGGCACAGTAAGGCTGATACAGCCTTTCCTCCCGAGTGTAGCCCACGATGCAGCTCCACAGGCTGACCGGATGCGGAGAATCATTGCCTACAGCGTCGTTCATCGGGATGCGTGGACGGAACACTGGAGCACGCAGCCGCTGTCCTAACGATCCCGTTCTCCGCCATCTGGCTGGTCCAGCGGTAGCTGCGTGCGACTGTCAGGTGACCGCTGCATAGCCCCACACAGGCCGTAGTAGCAGGGATCGAGCCGGCTCCGGTCGCCGCCCAGCAAACTATTCTGCCGGCCAAGGTCCTCACCGAGTTGTACGGCGCACGCTCTCTAAAAGAGTGGCCCATTTAGGAGACTGATAGAAAAGGAGCGACAAGATCGGCCGCAGTGCCGGTACATCGGCGAGGCCGAGTCGCTCCGCCGATCGAGCAACTGCTGACGCCTTTGAGTCGAGGCAGCTCCTGGCTGGAAGCGCTGCGGCCCAAGTGTAGCGCCTGACGGCTGACGGCAGTACAATACAGCTGCAATAGGCCCCAGCCCACTGTGGACTCGCCGACAACGAGAGGGCGGACGCCCTGGCCAAGGAAGCGGCCGGGCTGTCCCAGCAGATGACCCCGGTTGACGTCCGCACCCTCACACGGGTTGTTGCGCGGTCCACCAAGAAGAGGTGGCAGGCGGACTGGCCAGCTGGCTGGTATCGCACCGTCATGGGGGACCGCGCCCCCGCCCCGGGACGAGCCGCCACCAGGTAGGAGGCTGTTGATATCCGCCAGCTCCGGTCGGGTCACTGGAGACGATCAGAGCAGTAACTCCACCGGATTGGACGAAGATTAACGACCGAGTGCGCCCAATGCGAAGACAAAGAGTGTCCAGCGGGCCGCTGCCTGGTCTGCGGTGAACCAGCGGACACCCCGGCGCACGTGCTGCTCGAGTGCCCGTGCTTGTACATACGTCCCCGGCTCCGTGCGCTGGGAAATATCATCGGCGCGACCCACGACATCCAATGCGACGATGTGGTGGCGGCCTTGGCCACCGGCTACATGGCCCACAAGGGCCGTGTATCGGCTAAACTCTACCGCGTGTACTTTTCTGTCATCATTTTGACGAACACCCAGACCGCACAAGGGACACTGCATGATGATCCAGTTAAGCATCCAAGAGCTCAGTAGCCGTCAGCGCCATATGAATGGAGTGCCATCCCACTCCATCCTTCTTCTCATTTTCAATTTCATCCCACCGCCACCGGTGGTGGAACAGAAAGACTATGAGTGGCATGCACCAGCACTTATCCGCGGACATCCAACAGCTCTGTGTAAGCCATTACATTGTTGGGCATAGCCACTGTTGGGCTCTTGCTATTATTACAGCGGATTTCAAGGAACCTTTTCGAGAAGTGCAATAAGTGCTCGACCATTGGCGGGTCGGTGAGCCGTGTGACGCGGGAAAGCATGTACTCTCTAGCACATCTTTTTCGAGTGCCCTTTCTTCATGGGTGACTGATTGGGGGAAAAACGGCACCTCTTCCACCCGAACAAGTACCCAACAGCTCGTCCCGGGATTGGGCGGTTCAACAGTGAGCCAGTTTTCTCGAAAAAAAAAATCGCACAGCTAATTGATAAAGCGTCCGCGAGTGAATCCTGCATTGTTGTTAGCTCTTTTGTTTGCTTTGCTGTTTGTCATGTAGTAAAAATGCTACATCGTGCAGCTGACCGATGAGTGGGTATGTACCTACTGGTTTAATATGAGCTGGATTTTTTTTTCGGTGCTGAAGAACTATCAGCTATGTATACCTAAGTGTGCTCAGTCTGATCTGCAATACATATGTTTTACAATGCATGTGCTTTTACTTTTTTTTTTATAAATTTAGCTCGAATGTTTGAATGGACGGATTGACAGAGCCGGAGCCCACGCTAAGCGGAGCTTGTTGCGTAGACCCCGACCCCTACCGTCCGATCGCGCAATTCCGGGTAACGGGAGAATTTAGATGCCAAAGTTTAACGTGCCCTTCAAAGCCGGACACGGCCTGTCCCACTCAACTGACTTCAACTGGGTGCGGATGCTCCCACCAACCGCAGACCATCCCCGTCAGGAGTCTCAAATAACGAGCGCCGGAGCGTCTCGAACCCGGGCTCTCACTACCGGGAGTCCGATGCTCTACCAACTGAGCTACGGGACAGGCATTACTTTTACTACCAATTAACTTCATCGTTATACAGAAGTTCAGTCTCGTTCGAAAGCAAATTTCTAGGATACCAAGTGCATGAGTCGCATGTGATTAAGCTATGGAGTACATTGCTGCGTAGAAGATCTCAGCAGAACGGAACTGCTAGTTTCCGAGCTACCAATTAGGGGTGCGCACGTGGCGCGTGCGCACGTGCAGCGGCACTTCGAGCTTGTGACGAGAATCAGAAACAGTTAGCTTTGCTCTTGGGGAGGCATAGACAAAATTCAAGCTTAATCGGGCGGATACTTTCCAAGATATAAACAAGGGGTGTGTACGTGCGCACGTGCAGCCGCACCTGATAATGCAGAAGTTCAGTCCCGTTGGGAAATACGTTTCTAAGATACGCAAATGTATGTCGCCAGTGGTTATGGAGTACATTGCTGCATAGAAGATCTCAGCAAAACAAGACGGAACCGCTAGTTTCCGAGCCACGAATTGGGGTGCGCGCGTGGCGCGTGCGCACGTGCAGCGGCAATTCAAGCTTGCGATGAGCATATCAGGAACGTTTAGCTTGGCTCTTAGGGAGGCAGATACAAAGTTTCAGCTAAATCGGGCGGCTAGTTTCCAAGATATGACCAAGGGGTGTGCACGTGCGCACGTGCAGTCGCACCCCTTGCTTGAGGTGTGAACCAGCAATGGTTGTTAGGCTGTTGCCTGTATACAAAATTTCAGCGAAATCGGACGAGTAGTTTCTGAGATACAAAAAAGGGGTGTGCACGTGCGCACGTGCATCGGCACCTCAAAATTGGGACATGCGTTATTGGCAGGTGTGTTATACCTAGCTGGGTGCCAAATCTGAACTCATTCGGTCCAGCCGTTCCCGAGATACTGTCACGCCATTTTCATAAACATCTCTCACGCGCCACGTGCTGGTGCTCCCCCGTTACACCGCATCAGTTCGGCGGATGATCCCCATCATTTTCAATGAATGGGGCTATGCGGCGGTGAAGAAATGGATGTCGTAGGTGAACTGGCTCTCGAGTTATAAGCATTTACTTTTAGGGCCGTTGTGGTCATGGCCGGATTTTCTGTGTCCAGTCCATGTATACAGAGGTCTATGATTTTATGAAATACAAGAATCAAAAGAAATAAGCAATAAAGAAAACCTTTCTTAAAATAAAGCTTTATTTATTTTCAGTCAACACACGCTAACTAAATTGTCAATAATTTGCAATCCGAGTTCTTCAGGCTCCGAAGATTTAAGAACTAAATGGCCTGATCACAAAAACCTCTTCTTGAATTTCATCCTGACTTTATGTCAAGTTGCTGGTCTTCTCTTTTATTAAATGAGAGTAATGTGCAATATTTATGATAAAAAAGCTGATAACACTAAATATTGACCATTTATGAACATACATATGTATCATTATTTGCAACTGTTGGCCACATCACAACTACCAGACCTGATATTATAATTTAATTCCATCAGATTTCAAAGGACCTTCCTCAATCAATGCCTAGGCTAAAAATCAAACTGACAAACCTTGCTGTGCTCGACATTTCTCTTTGTAGCACTTTGCCACACAGGTTCGATAAAACTCAGACCTATCACCAGAAGAACACCATGCAACAGAAGTGCAGGTGAATATAACAAGCAATATATGATTGTTCATTTCTTTTTTAATCTTTGGTCTCGGCCTATATCCAGCAATATTGATATTCGCACAAGCATAGCGATGAAAATGAAATTAAAAATGCTTTTTTTTTGTCCGAAGCCAAACAAGGGGGACATTCAAATGTGCAACAATTCAAATTTGCGACACGCACGCAGGTGCTACAAATCCAAAAGTGCATCAACGACGAAAGTGCGATTCGACGGAGGACCTAATCGACAAAAGTTCTACAAAGTGCTACACTTTCATTGGCTGGCGCAAGGCTGGAGCTGGGCGGAGGCGAGCGAAGCGCTGGCCAATAGGAGGGAGTGTCACAGCCACAGCTACCTCGGTACTCTCTCTAGCGGCCGGCCGGGACGGCCACGCCGGAGCGCGGCAACGGAGCTCGGACGGAGGGGAGGGAGATCCGCCGCGCACAAAAATAGCCGCACCTGGCCGGTCCGCGCGCATACCTGGGACGGGGACGCCGGCGTGGACAATACACATTCCAGACGCCGCCGTCAAAACAGGGGGCCGGTCTCGGCCCTCCCCAGGCTGCGCGGCGGAAGGGTCAGGCGGCGCGGCCCGGTCAGGCCGGACGCGCCCGGGCGGCCGGCGTCCTCGCGGCCGGCCGGTCTCGGCGGTCTACCTGGCCGGCTACGAGCCACAGCCGGTGAACACCTACATAACTCATAAGCATTCATACATGCGGCGGTCACATGCTGATTTGGACAAACGATTTCAGCGAAGGAAACAGAAGACGGTGAATTCCCCAGAACCTGCTTTTTAATTCTGCATGTTATTTTTAATGCAAATTTGCAACGAAACACCTTGGAAAGCACAAGAGATCGTTTCAGCCAAGATAAAAACATCCCCATTATGAACTTCAATATCATGATATGTATTTTAACCCACGCACCGACAGGGGTCTGTCTGCGCCAACTTCTTACCGACGGGGGGGATGACCGCCCCCTGAGATCTCGAGAACGAAGTCAGATAGCGACAAGCGGTAAACGGCATGGGATACGCACGGACAAGGTCTACAATTTTTACAAAGGTCATTTTCAGGTCAGGTCAAAGATGACGTCACAGGGGTCAAAAAAGTCAAAATGGCGACGCTAGATATGGATAGTTTTTTTTTCTCGAATCACTTTCGAACTACAGGGTGATTTTTTTTACTTGTTAAAAAGTAATGAGGTTAAGTGGCGTTAAAATGCAAATATATATGGTAAAATTATATACCAGCATGACGAGCATTCTGGGACATTTTGATTTCATGCAGACACGATGTGAAGGAACGTCCATCGTGTATTTTACTTGTGCTTGAAGTTACCCCCTCTCTCACCGACACGAATCAGCCCGCCTGAGCACGTGTTGAACAGTACCATGGACTCCCATGCTCATTAGGCGGACTGAAAAGGCTCCTATCACCCATTTTCAGCTCTGCCAGATATTTCCAATGTTTTCTTGTTATATCTGCCATACCTGGGTCCAAAAACTAGAAGTCTAGAAAAGGCAGGTCGAGGATTTTGCTACTGGCGGCCCTGGTGGTGTCTGATTCGCTGTTTTTTGTTTCTCCCTGAAGACTGATTCTTCAGAGGTTGCACATACGCCAGATGGACCGTTTGAAGGTCATTTATGACTACAAGCTTGTTCCTGCATTATTTAACGTCTTTCCGAGGTATCTCCTTGATGATCGTATGCTTCGAACTGCCTCAATGCTTCAAAATCATCATTTTGTGTCGTTCCTTGCTGAACGGCGGTGGACCATGCGTGCCCGATTGGTGGGACATTTTCAGGCTCCATTGGGGCCGAGGCCTTCGGTTAAAAGGGACAAATCATGACACCATACAAAATGTCCCAGATTTATCTATCACGTGCATTGCTTTTTTGCACAAAATTTTTTGATTTAGGGACCACCATTGACGTTTACTTTTTAACAGTTAAAAAAAATCACCCTGTACATAGTCAAGATAGGAACAAACTAAGGGCATCATCGTGATCCTCTCGTCAATCCGCATCGATTGATATATATGTTGACCTCGAAAGGTCAAGGTCAAAGGTTGACCTCAGGTCACGTGACCTCGAGGTCGTCATGTATATCATTTGATGCGCCTTGACGAGCTGAACTCAATTGCCGGGGTTACATGAGCAAGTAAATGCGTATCAGGAACGGATTTTCATATTCGCTCACCATTGTAGTCCGTTTGTAATGCGTATTAACTCTGCTCATGTAACCCCGAGCAATGAGACCATCCGTGCGGCTGTATCTTGTTCCTGTACGGAGTTATTGGTAAAAAATCTTTGGTGACCTTTGATGACGTCACATGACCTTACAGCTGTCCAACAGCAAAACAGACCTCAAGGTAGTGAAGGTTGATCGTATATGAATTCATGTATGGTTTATGGGGCCATTCCGACCCGTTTTAGTGGTAAAAACAGGGAGTTGCTTTTTCCCCCATTGACTTATAATGGGGAGGTCGAGAAATTGACCTGACCTTAGGTCATCGATATCAAAATTCCGAGATACAAAAATTGTAGCTACTCATGAGTTTAAAACATCCAGCGACTTTCAAAGGCCTCCGACATCTACTGTAGCTGTGGCACGGTGTCAAAGTTGCAAAAAGTGACTTGAGGCTAAGTCATTCAAATTGACCTGATGACCTGACCTTAAAAGTTAGGAGGTTCAAACTTGCACACCATGTGTAAAATTGATGAGAAAATAGTCGTGCCAAATTTCGCGCGGTTTTCCCGCTATCTACGAAAAACCTAAGGGGGCGGATATCCGCCCCCCGTCGGTGCACGGATTAACCCGCGCCCTGCTGTGCAAAAATGGCGGCGCGGAGCGCCTCCGTTTTTGGTACACCTTATCATACATCAATTCTACACATGTTGTGAAACTCTAAGGCCAAGGTCATTCAAGGTCAGGTCACCAGGTCACTTGAAGTGACCTCACCTCATAAAAAGTTTCAATGTCTGTCATAGCTACACCGAGTGACCGATCGCTTTGAAACTTTCAGCGATTGCTAAGAGCAATAGCATGTACAAAATGCTTATATCAGAATTTTGATATCGATGACCTGAGGTCAGGTCAATTTTGCGACCTCCCCATTATAAGTCAATGGGAGAAAATTGAAATGCGGCTCTTTTGGACGAAAGACATTACAAACACTCCCAAACACCGAATTTACAAGTGGTTTAGACACACTGAACATGAAAATGGTGCCCGTGGCCCTTGTTTATGCCCTGAGGTCATCTTAGGTCACGAATGGTAGGTATCTAACAGTTTTTCGCAAATAACTTTTGATAGAGGCATGCTAGAGAGATGAAAACGCCTTAGATGTGTTCAGCTCGACGATATCGATATGGATCGACTGATATGCAACATGACCCTTTCCGGTCAGGTCATGACCTTGAACTGAGGTCAAATTTTCAAGTTGACCTTTCAAGGTCAAGTTATAGTTCATTCGTTGCGTCTTGACAAGAGGAACACGATGCCGGTGAAAGTAAGCTCGTACAAGGCTTGGGTCAAAAGTTATTGCAGAAAAACTGTTTCCGAAAAAATCGGCTATTTTTGCAGTTTTTGCCCCCTGCAGGCAAAACCGTTGAAGTTAGTTCAACTCTGAGCGAATCACTCAGAAAGGGCGTTAATAGGGCTATCGAATGCGCTTTTCCGCGGCGCTGTAGCTCTACCTATTGGTTCCCGAGGTATGCGTTGGCTTCTTGGAAATTTTCGACATTCGACCTGGAAATCGGCGAAATTTTGCCTTCAATGACCTCTGGTGACCTGACCTTTGACCTGACCAAAAAATTGACCGCAGTGATTTCGTCATTATTTTTGACGCTCTTTCGAACGCCGCCTTCTGCGTATCGCTACGTGGCCCAGGAGCCGAGTTACAAGGGGGGTGTTCAAACACCCCCCCTCCCCCCAGCAGGGCGTGGAAATCCAGGACCCCCAGCCGGGCGCGGGTTAACCCTCGCCCGTATTGGTGTTTTTCCAACCGTGAACGTATAAGGGGGGTCCGTTGGACCCCCCCCCCCCTTGCCGTTTCGCCCCTGATCGAGCTAGAGCTTCGCGGAAAAAACGAGCGTGTTGCCCGTGACGAGAGGAAGCCGATGATACCTAATTTTAAGGTCCTAGGTCATTGGTTGACCTTGCAGGTCAGGTCAATGACCCAAAAGTCGGGAAAATCGGGACCTGTTAGAACGTCGTAAAGTGTGGCTGCTATGGGTTTTTTTGGGGCGCTGATCACGAATATCATGTTAGTTTTGATCACAGATGATGTCTTTATGCATTTAGTCAAGGTCGGGTCAGGTCAGGTCAGGTCAACCAGTAGGGGTCCTGCCGGGTATTCCTAGTAGGTGTCAACCGCCTCTGACAGCTTCGTAACATGTTACGAAGGCACCAAAACTACTTCGTAAATCTTCATATGGTTGTTAAATTCGAATTCAGCTCCAAAAACTGGCCTAGAAACATGTAAAACTCGAAAAAGTGAACCGAGGTCACCAAAGGTCAGTGACCTGACCTGACCTTCAGGTGTCCTTGACACCCACCCTAATGCATGGGGGCAACGTCATATCACATGTTTGAACGCTTGAAACCACGAAAAGACTGCAAACGCGCGGCTAATGCGAGCCGACATACGCCGAATCGCGATTCCGGCCAAACATGGTCTCAAAAGTAGGTCACAGGTCAAAGGTCATTGGGGTCAGGGTCATGAAATTTTCAGGGTAGGTGTAAAATTGATTAACGCGAGGGTACTTAAAGTTTCGTCGCGATCGGCCGCTTTTTACGCGAGTTATTCGCGAAAAACCATGGGGGGTCCGTTCGACCCCCCCTATACGGGCGAGGGTTAATAGAAACGTTCGGAGTTGGAGTCGGAGTCGATTTTTGAAGCCGGAGTCGGAGTCGGAGTCACCCTAAAATCCATCGACTCCGCAGCCCTGAGGCAAACAACTTTTACTAGGCAAAGCTTTGCTACTGTATAGTCGACTACAGAATGATGTTCCACTTTTCACAGGCAATTATTTGCCTGGAGTGGTAGGCTGTGCCGCATCACACGGGCTGAGTTCACAAATTATAGCTTTGTCCCAATGCTCACAATCAACACGCTTAATCGCGTGATAAACGGCACAATTTAGCGCTCC